ATTTATTTTAAAACAATCACTTGCCCCACATACACACTGTATTTTTACTCTGCAGTGTATATGTTGGAAATTTAGAGGCTGCATTTTTAATGTTTCAAATAAATGAAAAAGGTAAAGGATACACTAGTCTAATAGTATCCCTTAGTTCCATAAAGCACAGGCTATAAGATATAGCAACTAATTATCAATTGAAAAAATGCACATATTTAAAATAAACCACACTGTCATTTCATGATAGTTATTTGGAAGTTGTAAGATGCAGAGTTGGATTGTTCCAGTGGTTAGCTGTATAATGCACTTTTCTGCTAGGACACCACTGTCAACAGCAAAGGCCAGGGTGAAATTTAAAGTGACATCTAGTAAAATGCCTAGATACCTGCAGGAATTAATCTCAAGAGCAGTGATCTATTTTTATTCTTGCAAATTAATTGACTCAGTAAACAATATTTTATTAAATATAAACAGGTAACGTATAAGAGCTAATTCCTGAAGTATAACAACAATAATTTTACAGTGCTCTTTGCCAAGGTAACAGCTAGGCCAGCTGATTGTTCTCCACTCCTAAAATAAAGCCTTCCTTACTTTTTTGGGAACTGTGGAGTCCTGGGAGTCAACAAGCCCCAGCTGAAGTTGCTAGAGCTTTGTGCTGCAATCTGGGGCTTTTGACACTGCCAGATGTTGCTGTTGCTTGCTCCACTTGCTCCACTGATTCATTCTTCTACTGACTGCTGCTACTGCTCCTCATTTTTGAGCTGTCCTGCCTCACCACTGTCATTTTGTAGCATTTTGTCTTGCTTCAGCTTTTAAGAAGTGCATATGAAGTACTGCCATGTCCTTGATGTATACAGAATATTGGTAATCAGCTTCTCCCACTTCATGGACTCCTAAAAAAAAAAATCTTGTGCCATTTTTTCCTTGCAGTCCTACACAGAAGTTATGATCTCTCTAGATTAACATGAAGAGTTGGCCTAGTAGATCTCTGGAAATCTAGAAACTTTGTCTAAGGCAGTTACAAAGCTGTAATTTTTTTTCCACTTTGATATTAATTTCTTTTTACAGAAATGCTTCTCAAACATCTGTAAAATAAGTACGTTTCAGAGGTTCCCATTTGTCTCTCTCATCTCCTTACTCTCCAGGAAATGCTCTTCCTACCCACTATGAGTTGGGGAATGGGGGAACACATTACTACATTTTATGTTAGCAAAAGTTCCTTTAATTTTTATCTCACGTGAATCATAAGCAAACAATACTCCAAAGATTCAACTACAGTACAATATGAATGTACCCTTTTAAAATTTTTAAGGAACATGTTCTCCTTTCTTCTCTATGTTTTTGTTTGTTTGTTTGTTTGGGTTTTTGTTCTTGTGGTTTGGTTGTTTTGTTGAGGTTTTGTGGGTTTTTTTTAGTTCTGGATGTGAGCAGGCAGTCAAATAATGAAATTTAAAGTTGTATATTTTTTCTTCCCTTTTCTCTCAACCTATGCTATTTGTATAAAGCCATTCCTGAAGAGAGATGCAATTTACTTCATATTTCTCCTGTCAACCATCATGTTACTGTAGCAGGAATCTGGAGGCCAAAGCCTCATATTTGCTCCCAGTGACATCTCTATACCACTTACCAAGGACTACATAGTCTTTGAACTAAAAATCAGTTTTCCTCCTGTTTCTCATGGTGTTCATAGGAATTTAAGGTTTGGATCAACCTCAGTAGACGACCAAAGGCAATCATCTCTCTGAGGCATGATATCATTTCTTGCCTGCATGGATTCCGCAGTTCCCTGGATTTCCTATTCCATTGTTTCACTACTCACACAGTTAGAAAAATGTTCCTTATTTTCAATCTGAAAAGCCATTTTATATATATATGTGTATATATATATATATGTACACACACATTTTTTGCAATTTGGATAGTTCCATTTGATATGAAGGCAATTACATTAATGTGAGACGTGCAGTTTTAATTTCCTGTCTCCATAAAAAATTGGCAAAGATCCTTCACTAATTTGTTAAAGTGTTCATCATTTTTATTGGAAATTAACATAAATGTGCAAAACCACAGAAGGCGTTCACTCAAAACAACCAATTCCTTTCTTAGTATGAAAGGAGAAAGTGATTTGATATAGCAACTTCCTTTTTCTTCTTTTTTCCCCAAAGACTAGTCTATACTAATCCCTGATTTGCCCCTTAAACTAAAAAATTATTCTCCTGTATGTCTTTCCAAGGGTTCAAAATACAAAATTTGTGAACAGGATGAGAACTTCACCAAGTGTAGATACTGTTGATACAAGGTGAAGATGAGATGTATAGTGTCAGGAAACAAAAATCCTTTTTTTTGTGCTTATATCAAGTTACCTCTCTGTTCAAGGTAATTTAATCAGTTTTTTAGCAGATATACTGCACCTTGCCTTTATTTTTGTGAGGAAAAGTAAGGAATACAATTATTTTGTTTGTACTCAAATGAAAATTCACTTCCTAAAAAAAGCAGAATGTGCTGGCAGTTTGAATTGCTAATCTGTTATTAATCCAAGTAATATGAAATTGATCTCCACAGCGCAAGATGATGAGTTGTATACAGCTGTGCATTAGAGAAATTCAGAAATTATGTAAAAGATGCTACAATTGCTTTAAACAGAGTTTTTGCCCTCTCGACTTGGCCAGTTCCCATATCAGCGATCAAAAAGGTTATTGTGTAAAAGTTTATGTAGCAAGAGGATGTAAGATGTCTGATTCAATGTTCTTATTTTGTTGCTGATCTTTATTGTCCATTTTACTTCCCACACTCTTTTTATGAAGCTGATGTGTGACTGTATTCATTTGGAATTTGTGTTTCTCTGTTTAAGAAATACAGTCACTCCCCCCCCATGGGACTTCAATTTTGTATTGACATATTGCTCTAGGATAAGATTAAATAACTGTCCTCACTGTGAGAACTTTCATGAGGGAGCATGGACTTGAACTTTATGTGTGATAAGCGCTGTGTTATTATATTCTGAATGGAATATAATAGACAAAATTCATAATATATTTTTTAAAAATGGCAGAATTAACTTATCCAAAATAAAAAAATGCACTATAAGTAAGAAGACTTACTTATTTGTAGATTCATGTATTAAAGTAAACTCCTTGTATTTACTAAAGCTTTTGCCACATGGAGAATTCTTGTTCCCTAGTACAGATGTTATTGGATTAAAGGATGTTTGAATGCCTGAATTAAAGGGTATGCTTAAATACTTTTGTGAATTATAGTCTTGACTTGGTATAGCTGTAGTCATGCCTGAGTAAACTAATAGCATTGAGTATAAGCAGTAAATAATTCAGATTTGTACATAGTTCTTCCCCACAGACACTGAGTGGTTTATGTTCTTTATCCACTTGGTTTCCTGTGTTAAGATGTCAAGCAATTGCTTAACTTCTTGAACTTATCTGGCAAAGCCAATCTTTTTTACCATGCCTATTGAATTATAAATAACGCTCATCTGAATTATAAAAACAAAACTCAGAAAGGAAACCCAAAAGACCCTGAAAAGAGAACCTGTTGCCAGATGTTTTGTTGGTTATAGTTTTAAACAAGGTTTCCTTTCCATTGAATATGGAAGTAGTACAGAACTCCACTTCTGTTGCACGTTCAAATTTATTTACAGCTGATCTATTTTGCCAACAATTTCCCTGCTTTAAAAGTACTTGTCTTCAGTTTCACTGGCAGGGGACAATATGAGGAAACTCTAGTATTATGAAAAATATTATGCTAGCTGAAAAAAATCTGAGCACCTTAAGTTGCGTATTCTGTGTTTTTATTATCATTTGCTTTTGCAGTATGAAATAGAGTATTGACAGAGGCTCACGAGCTTTAAGGATACCACTAGATGTTTCTTTCAGCTCCCGGTTACTTTCTTCTTGATGGCCTCCTATAGCTGCTCCTGATTAGCTGAGGATCAGGACCCAGCTGGTCACCTATTGAATCCAGCTGGCAAGTTGATTATTTTCTCTATAAGAGCCCAGGTTAAAGGAGGTATTTTCTTGTAAGTGGGCCCGGAGGGAGAAGGACAGAGAGGTTATATATAAACTGATCAATTAGATATAGAGGAAAGCATATCTTCTTGAGAACATGAGTAGGCATGAAGGGCTTTGAAACTCTGAAGGGTACATCCTCTGCAAGAATGAAAGAATAAAAATGGTTGATAAAAAGTGAAGGTTCTTATGTTCTGATTTTCTTTGAAGTGGTTTTTTTTGTTCTCTGCTCTCTGACTGGAACAGATAGAGGTACAGTTGCCTGAGGTAGGTACTAAGCAAGTCTAGTGACTGATGATGAGAACTAACTTGGAAATAAAAAGCTGGAATAGAAAGTCTGTAGTTTGCCAGGGAACAAGCAGATGATTTCTTTGGGGAAGCACAAAGTGACCAGTTGCTGAAAACAGATCAGCAGTGCTCTGACATTAGAAGCACTGAGCACATCTGGCTTGTCCCTAGGAGTGCAAGCATGTTCAAGGAGCCTAGAGCAAAGCATTTAGATTCCTTTCTGTTTCTTCTGGAAAGTTAGACACCCTAAACTTCAATAATAAAGTTGCTTTCTGAAAAGATGAGTGGGTGGTGGGGGTGTTCTGACTACTAAAATGTAAAGGAACTCCATAACCCGGTTCCTCATATTAATTAAAAGGAGTATTTCTGGAACTGGAATTTGTTCATAATTTTGCTATGAAAACTTGATTCTGATGCAAAAAGGTCTTAGCTTAATCTACAATTCAATTTTTTCTGTATAAGATGGCTTTAAACTGATTGTGTATCTGGAAAGAGAAAGCTGGATGAATTGGGTGAATTCAGAGGGACTTAGTCTCATTATTTGTCCCTACTTTGTGTTTTTGTGTTTGAAGTGACAGAAGTGTTGCTAGAGATACTGGAAGATGTTTCTTTGAGATGTTCCAGGCACAGCATTTTAGTTGAAGTTCTTGTTTTTCTTTTTGTAGTAAATTTGAGGCAAATAATTGTTTTGTTTTGTTATAGGGAAAGGTGAACATGGAAAGCCATACCCTCTTACAGAGGAAGACCACGATGATTCTGCTTATAGGGAAAACGGCTTCAACATATTCGTTAGCAACAATATAGCACTGGAACGATCACTGCCAGACATCCGACATCCTAAGTATGTAAATTGTCTCCTGGACTATTTAGTTTTTAAGTTTTTAATCTTTGTATGTCTCTAAATAACCTGTTTTCCTGGAAGGTCAAACATGAACCCCCAGACAACAAAAAATGATAATTTCATTAAATAGGAAATGGAAACTTTATCACCATTGCTATATCATTTGCTCTGTATTTTAAACTGACTTCTTATCTTATTAGTAACATATTAAGACTATAGAAGGCCTCTTTTCATTACAGAATGATTTTCATTAAATTCCTGGGTAGTGATTTCTGCAAAAAAAAAAAGAAAATCATATAGTTTTTCATGTTCTTAGTTGGTTAATACCTGCAGATTTTTGGTCTGGGGTGTGGAGTAACAAGTTGCATACAGTTTTTGGCTAAAGGTTTTGACACTACAGCTTGTCAGATGCTGATACTACAGTTGATTTATGCAGTATAAAATTATGTAAGAACAGAACATGCATGATGCACATGCAGAACTTGGGGACGCTGGATGATGGTATTGTTCCCTAACAGCACTAATATAACACAGAGAAATAGGATAAAGATTATCTTGGAAAATAATCACTGAGCTAAAAATGGTCATACAGTTCTTAGCAAACATAACTTCCTTTTATATTCTTTAATTTTTGCCTCCTTTATATCTGAAGAGTAAAGCTTCCTATCTGTAACAGGGAAAAGGGCACTTTTACCTTTCTAGTCTCCAAGTTCCAGTCCTCTAGAGTCATTCTGAGCTCTGAAGAGAGGACTGATTCGAGCTGTCTTTTACCTGGCATTTTTCCCCTCTTTTAATTAGATGTTATGCAGCTGGGGGAAAGATACAGGAGCGAGACAAAACAAATTGTCTCCATGACTATATTTGTATTTTCTTTCAGATATAATTCTCTTCTTTAGGAAACATTTCATGTTGAGGTACCTACTCCTTAATTTATAAAATTTTGGTGTGTGATTAGTTTAAAAATTTTCAAGGACCAAGGCAGAACTGTTTGCATAGTAAGAGTTTAAAAAAAGTAACTCACATGAAGGAACTAACCTTTTGTTAGAGCTGTCTCTAATTTAATGTTAAACATTAATTGTCTAATTGTATTGTTTTGAGAAAAAATGTTGCTCCTAATTTGTATATATTAGTATTTTTTGCATAGAATTAAGTCAAAAGAAATGTTTTTATAACAAGTTGTATGTTTTATATACTTTTTTTGCTTTCTGCTTTGCCAAGTTACTTGAAATTACTCATAGAAAAAGTGCTTCCAAGAAGTTTGAGTTCTAACATACAGCTTTACTGCATCAAATCTGTGGTAAATTACATTGCTGGTATAATGAATATGTTCATTAAGCATCCTCCTGTGTTAGCAAAACTGCAGAGGACAATTACTAAATATAAAAGGAAGCTGTCAGGTTTATCATCTCTTTGTTTTTTTGTAAATTGATCTTTTGGCAACTTGTTCCTCACCTGCTGCTTTTGCACAGTCAATGACATTTCCACACGTGTCCCCAGAAGCAATGTGAGTGGTGTGTTGTCAGAAGTGACATATTAGGAATGAGTCAGTGCTAAACCAGCCTTTGTCTGCCCTCCTTCTCCCAGCACAAATCCTTTTGTGACTTTCACCTAAGTGTCTCACTTGGGAAGCTTGTATCCTTAGGTATTGGCATTGTTTCCATGTTTCAATTCAGCTAGATTCCTGTGGTCTTCAGTGAAATGGCTGTTTTAGTAGTGCTCTGCGTAAACTGACTTCTGCCATGTGCTTCTAACCTTCCTTATGTTAGACGCTCATAACACAAGAAGTCCATTGGTTAATTGACTGTATTGCATACCATTTAAATGCGAAGAAAAAAATGTTCTTGTCTTGTGCTAAAATTGCTTACTAATTAATATGCTGATTAAGGAGACAAAGCTGGGCTCTATACTTCTGATGGTTACGCCTTGAAGAAAGTGTATTTCTTCAACTTCCAAGAGACACAGAAGTCTGACAGTGCTTTCTGACCTACTGTCAGAAACAAACCCCTCTCTTGGCTGCCGTGTGTTAAATATGGCCAGTCTCAAATTGCACTTCACTTTTGGAAATGTGTCCTCTCTTCAGAAGTGCATGAAATGTGAAGTAGGTCATACCTCATTGTGCTGGTTTTGACTGGGGTAAGGTTAATTTGCTTCATAAATTTGCATGTCACCCTTGTGAAGGGACCATGTTAGAGGCTGGAGTTAAAACACGACACTCATAAAGTTGCTTTCAGAGAAACTAATTGGAAAATTATGTAATTTCTGTGCCAGAAAAGGATGCTCTTATTTCAATAGCATTAGAGTAGATAAATCAGGTGAGGTATAGCAGGCAAGATCTAGTTTGTTCAGCTTCTGAACATTATAAAGGGCTTTGGCTTGGTGTAACTTCAAACTACTTCGAGGCTTTTAACTGTTTTCTGCACATTTGTGGGAGATGGTATTACTCTAGACTTTAAGTCTTTGATCCTTTGTCTCTGTGTATACCATTTGCACAGGGGCTCATCTGCGAAAGACTAACTTCCTGAAAGTACTGTCTATGACACATTTTATAGAACCAAATAGAATGGTTTTATTGCCATCAGTAGAGAAAATTCACAAAATGGAGTTTCAAATACAACAAAAAACTGGTGAATCCTGTAATTTGAATCAAAACTTATTAAATCAAAAGAGCAGCTACAGTAGTTTCAACACTTATCTGAAATAACTTCAAAAATATCTTGGTCTGAAGTCAGACCAAGGAAATTTCAAGTACCCCTTCCAAGTGTTTGGTTTTATGGGAAGTATGAAAAGATAGCAGATAACCCAAACTTGCTCTTTTTAATCCAAATAAATTTTCTCCTTCTGAGTCTCTTAGCAAACTGAGCTCAGAATTTGCAAATAACACCTTCTAGCAGGGGGCCAGGTAGAACTAAACAAATGCTTAGCTGATTGACCTCTGAGAAATTCAGGTTTTCAATTTTTTTTATACTATTCTTGTGTTTTTCCTGTGATTTTTTAAAAAAACACTTCAGCAAAATGTGTTATGATTGATTTTTTTTTTTCTTTCCTTTTTAAGACATTAAAATATGTGTACTATAAAAATCCCTAGAGAAATTCTATTTTAAGGCTGACTTAACAGCTTTCCTGTGTCCTTAATATGTTTCTATTGCGTCCCTTTAATATCTCCCATGTTTTTTTTTTCTCTCTTTCAAATGCTCAAATATTTTTGCCATTTCTGAGTGGTCTTTGTCCTGCTTCTGTCCCACTCGTGTGAAAGTCTTCACACAGTGGGTGCTCTTGCCAAGCTATATTAGCTAATTCTCTGTTCTTTGCCCACAATCACCCCCTGGTTTTAAGTTTAAACAAACAAACAAAACTTTTTTTCCCCCCTTAATTGTAGATTTAAGTCTGAAACAAGATTATCATCTCAGTTCATTGTGCTTCAGGACCAATTCAGTGAAAATAAGAGTTTGGTCACCTAAAGTAGAAGGCAGCATAATAACCTTTAGGTTGTATTGAACAAAAGTAATGGAGTTAATGTTTAGGAGGTAGAAATTCTGTACCAGTATAAAAAAATATTTCAAAACATGCAAGAAGAGTGTTTTCATGTTTTCCTTTTCACCTGCCTTGTGCCACTTTCTGTAGTCTGGAATACAACAAACATGCTAATGCTAGGGAAAGTGTTGGCAGTATTATTTTCTATTGTTGAAAGAGAAATGCTACTTATTCAAACTATTGAATGTACCAGTTATAATTAATTCTTATCTTCTCCACACTATTAAATATTCTGCCATTCATACCAGTTTTGTTCAAACAAACAAAACTGAATCTGATTCACATTTTGAATAGCATTCTAAATGTGATTTTAATGAGGCTTTGGGGAGTGATTACAATCATCTAGTCTGAACAGTGAATATAAATTTTGTGATCTGTCGTGTTTCAAACTCTTAAGTCCTTGTAAACTACAGAATCCATTTTTTAGCCTTTTGTTCTTGAATCAAGGAATTTGAGTTTGTTCCTGATACCAGTAGAGTTGAGACCTTTAAAATCTTTGGGTTTGGTATATTTGTATAGCTTCATTTTAGGACCAGGTCTCCTTTTATCTAAAATTTTTGGATTAATTGCTGATAACTGTATCCTGGGGTCATCGAGCACAGCATTGTGAGCCAGTTGAGGGAGGTGATTGCTCTGCTCTACTCTGTGCTTGTGCAGCCTCACCTTAAGCCCCGTGTGTGGTTTTGAATGCCACAGCACCAACCCTGACAGAGTTCAGAAAGTGTTTGGACAATACTCTCATGCAAACACTGTGATTCTGAAGATCCTGATGGGTCCTTTCCAACTCAGGATATTCTGTGATTCTATGTGACTTGTGTAATCACAGATCAGGTGCACAAATCCTTCTTAGCTTGCCTGAGTAATCTATCACGAGAAATCCCATCCTTTTAAGGTTTTCCTGGGCATAGATAGATTAATTTTGTACTGAAAGTCTTAATGTTCTTATTGTACATTAAGGATGCCAAAGCTGATTCTTGTGATGCTTGTTTTTTAGGGCTGCAGTCAGTGTTTCCAAGCAATGTCTGCTGGTCTTGCTGTTGCTGAGTGAAGTGCTGGCCCTTCACTGTCACTCTCACCAGTATTCCTTTTTAGAAGTCTCACCTATGCTCATTTCTCTTACACATTAAATTTTTCATAGCCCTCAGAAGAAATGCATTTTCATATTCAAAGAAATACGAGTGTTTAGCCAAGAGCTGTGAGATCTTCTGTGTCCTGAACACTAATGAGATTTTATTTAATAATAAAACCAAATTTCACTTTATGGGTTCTGCATAACTGAAACTCTTCTTTTTAGTAGCAGAAGCTGAGAGAATGCCTGAATGGTTCTCTCTCAAAATATTTGAATGCAGTGTGGTTGCTCTCTACTGTATTTTTAAAAGATGCTAAAATGAATATGCAGTGGGATTTCTCAGGGGAGCACTTTTTTGATTGATTGTATTTTTATGTGTCTTTAGAGTAGTTGCAGAGTT